CAATAATAGATAATAAAATATTATTTTATAAAATTCTACTCTGGTAGAATAGCAGATATTGGGAATAGATGTTTCGCTCAGTTAGCTTCAGAGCGGTAACGTGCAAATCTCGTGTTCTGTGATAACAAATAATAGTATTTTATCATCAAATTATTTAAACAGCGTCCCGCTTTAAATATAACGAGCTCTTGATTTTTTGCCAAAAAATTATATGACGTTTAAGGTTACTTGAATGGTATTAACACAGTGATTGTTCCGTACTAAAACATTATAATATCATTAATTATGGTATAAGTGAAATTTAAATATGAATTCGTACGTACAGAAAAATTTGAAGAAAAACGATGAAAGTCATATCACTCAATATTTGGCAGCTGTAACAGGTGGGTTTTTATAATAATATTAATTTAAAATTTATAGTATTTTTATTTAATTAATAAACCTTAATTGAAAAACCTTTAATAAAGTGTAACACATTTATAAACGAATAAATTACTACTTAGTATTCAATAAAATTTTAAAATAATATATCGAATGATAAGCGTTCATCTGTAAAACATATCTGAACTTTAACATAGAAGTTCAATATAAATAATTACATATATTTTTTTAATAAGAAAAGCCTACATTAATTTTAAATTTTAAATAATATTAGTAATATTATCATTATCCAAGAGAATTGAGCTTAAAAAGAAAATTTAGAATTTTGATTTACTGACATTCAAACAAAACATTCAGACAACAATTCTAAAATATACCGGGTGCGTCTCAAAAATGGCTCACCCCTATAACTTTTTTATTTTTTTAGTTAAAAAAACGATATTTGGTATGTTAATATCTACATATTATACCTATATAAAATGCTAATGTTTATCTGTGTCGTCTCTACTGAAGTAACGACTTGCTCTAGAAAGGTGCTTTTTTTAGTAAAAGATAGCTAATTGGCTCTTCTAAAAACTGTCGTCGCCGGATTTTTTGTTTTTCATTTAATTAAAAAAAATAAAAAGGACCAATTTTTCCCCCGATATCGTGACGGATGCGCCAGGCTTCAACTAGTAAGACGTAAATTAGGATTGATTGACGTATACAATTGTTTTCGGTCACTTCCTGTTTCACCGGAAATGACTACAACTTTTGATTTTTAAATCACACCCTCGGTATTTTTTGACTTTATTTGATAGAAAATGACACTCTGAATAGAATGACATATCATATGTCAACTTTAAACAAATTTATAAAACTCACTAATGTCAACTTTATAAAAAAGTTATAGTGGTGAGCAACTTTTGAGACGCACCCGGTATTTGAACCCAATTAAACTTTTAGTTACGTAATCGAGGGTAATTGATTGTTAATTCATTGTTGTCAACCATGGACATATTCGGCGCCGGGCTGACTAACTGGAATTTAAATTTCCCGATGGAGATTCAGGTGGTAGCTCTGCTGTAAAAAATGTCGAGTTGCCACTTTTATTTATTCCTGACATTGTCATTAGTTTTGACACTTTATTTTCGTATTATGCGAGTTTTTGGTTTAAATAAATAGTGTTGTGATACTTTAAGCTTAAAAATGTTTACTAGCAGACCTTGTAGTCGAACAATGTTCTTTTTAGAACCTCTTTAAGTGCGAAGTGTACAAGATAGCTTAATAGCCGTAAAAAACTCATCGCAAGTTTATTAGAATATTTTGAACGGGAAAGCGGTAGTAATGACCCTTTATGTCCTCTAGTGCTGTTTAAGAGGTTTTTTGATGTAAAAAATAACTGTTTTTATATTTATAATTAATTTATTTTTGTTTTGGTTTTTTTTTTATTAAAAAAAATTTAGGTTTAGCATTGGCAACGTTGCTTTAAATGCCAGAAACACATAAACTTACTTCGGGTTTCTCTTATTACCGATTCTGAACCGTCCTAGAACTGTGATGCGTATGCGCAGAAGGAAATATGAAGACATTATTTCATTTGCGCATGCGTAGCAGAGTTCTTGGACGGTTCAGAATCGGTAATAACAAGAACCCGAACAAAGCTATAATCTAACATTTTCAGATTGTTTACAAATTTATTTTAGCAAATTTTCCTCTATTATGCATAGAATTGGTTAAAAAAGTAACAGAAAATAGCAAAAACATTATTGATTATTGAATACCTAACAAAATATGTGCTAGAAAACCTTAAAAATATCAAAAATTAAGAAAAATTCGATATTGAAATTATTTTCCGTTTTTCTGAAAAACGGTAAGAGACCGCCAAGAAAAAAAGTTCAGATTCGTAATCTACAACTTCAAAATAGGGTGTATACCAATTTTGATGAAAATCGGACGATTTCCAGTTTTCCCAATAATTACCAAAAATGTCAATTTTTTATTCATTTTTACCTTGCCCCCCCCTAAATTTCATTCTTCCGGCGCCCATGAATGCGTAAGAAAGTATATACCCGAAAAGCTAAAAGTCATGTATTTTACAGAGGATTGGGTCAGCTGAACTGAATAAATCAGGAAGTCTTAAAGTTTCTCAAAATCGTGACTCAAAATCGTAGCCTATTCAAGATCAAATTATATACCGTTATCGACAATGGAAATAAAGCAGTAGAACCCTGTAAATTTGAGCCATTTTGTAGTAAAAATTCAGATGTCCGACCCAATATTGATATTTACGAAAATTTTGATCAAGACAATTTTTTTTAAACCGGAGGCAAAAGAGCTTTTTGGCACGAGCGAAAAACACTCTTACTTACATATTGATAAATAGAATATGTTTCTTCGTTATGGCCATTTTGTTTTTGTGGATTTGGGCCGGTTGCCTGTTTTTCCCGGGCCGGTTTCCACTTCCCCATCCACCCCTGGTTATATTACATAATATTTTATATAAAAAGGAGATTTGGTATTTTAGTATATGACATAAATTAGGATTGATTGACGTATTCAATTATTTTTGGCCACTTCCTGTTTCACCGGAAAAGACTACCACTTTTGATTTTTAAATGGCATCCTGGTTATTTTTCTACTTTATTCGATAGAAAATGGCACCCTGAATAGAATTACATATCATATGTCAACTTTTTACATTTTCGCTTTTAAAAAGTTGCAGTTTAAATTTCAATCTAGAGTGCCAGGGCTGTGTTAAAAACGCTAATTTTTAATCAAAGAACCTTGAAAAAATAAATTTGATCGTCTAATGTTTTTCGTGTCTTATTTTGGCCGGTTAAAAAATGCCCGAACCGTATTTTTAATCATATCTCAATTTTTTCAAATGGAACGAGGGTGGCTCATTAGCATATTATTTGGAAAACGCATTTTTTACGAATGATTTGGCACCACACACTTGGTATTATTATCTGTACTAATATATAAAATCCTTAAGTGACTGACATACTGATTAATCACGATCCTGCTCAAACCACTCAACGTAAGAAGCTCAATTTTGACATACAGGTTGATTCTAGGGTGTAGAGGTTCGATAAGAAGGGATTTTTCGAAATTCAAATTCCAAGAGGGTTAAACCACCCCTCAAATATTACAATATTTTTTATTTAAAAAACGGTCAAGTTTCCGAAAAAACGCTTAAACACGTATATTTTATTTTGTTTTTTTACATATTTTAAGATTTTTTAAAAACGTATACAGGGTGTTTTGAAAAATCTGGTCATTGATTAATCACGATCCTGCTTAAAGCGCTTGACGTAAAAACCTGATTTTTGGAAAACATATTGACTTTAGGGTGTAGAGGTTCGATAAGAAGGGACTTTTCGAAACTCGAATTCTAAGGGGGTGAAACTATCCCTCAAATATTAAAATATTTTTTATTTAAAAACCGGTCAGTTTTTCGGAAAAACTCTTAAACACGTATTGTGTATTTTATTTTGTTGTTTTACATATTTTAAGATTTTTTATAAATTTATACAAGGTGTTTCATATAATATGACCATTGAGTAATCACGATTCTACTTAAACTGCTTGACGTTTAAAGCTGATTTTTGGCAAACGGATTGACTCTGGGGTGTAGAGGTTCGATAAGGAGGGGTTTCTCGAATCTCAAATTCCAAGAGGGTGAAAACGCCCCTCAATTATTACAATATTTGTTATTTAAAAAACGGTTAGTTTTTCGGGAAAACGCTTGGACAAGCATAATTTATTTGGTTATTTTACATATTTTGAAATTTTTTAAAAAATCATACAGGGTGTTCCAAAAGTTGGGTAATTTCTTAACCAGAATTCTGCTTAAACTGCTTGACGTAAAAAGCTTATTTTTGGCAAACGGATTTTTCGAAGGTCAAATTCCAACGAGATGAAACTACCTCTCAAATATTATCAAGTTATATAATAATATCGCCATATTGTTTTTTCTTATGCTGACATAAATGTGAGAAAATTTTATCCAGTTTGTATGTTAATGGAAATTCGTGCTTTGCTTTATCATCACCATTACAAATGATTAATTCGACGCGAACGAAGTCGCTGGTACACGCTAGTTACATATAAAACACACTAATCATTCTTTAACTTTCAGCTTCACTTACCTTTCTTAACTTTGGCATTTACCAAGGATGGCCCGGACCTGCCCTTGTTAAAATCTTATCAGATGAATATCCAATATCGGTGGACCAGGAAGAAGCTTCCATTGTAGCCACTATTGGTACAGTGGGCCATGTTATTGGTGGATTCACAGCTTCATATTTAGCAGATCATATCGGACGAAAAACTACCATCATGGGCATTGGACTACCTCAGGTATTTATCTACATATATCAATGGCTTTTATGTGATCCAATGTATTCACTTAAATTTTCAGATTTTATGGCCAATGCTAATCTATTGGTCCTATTATTCTAAGTACCTTTTGTATATCGCGAGGATTGTAGGTGGTATTGGAGAAGGTGCTAGTATTGCTGTTGTAGGTACTTATATAGCTGAGACGGTAGTACCAACAGTAAGGGGTGTATTAGGAGGGTTCACAACTGTTTGCGTTGGACTTGGCGTATTTATTATTAATATAGCTGGTGAGTAACTAATACATAAAATACACTTTCTAGTTGTATTTTAAGTACAAACGGTGCCGTATAAGAAATCCTCTTAAACCAGAAGACATATAGATAATTAAATTACGTTGTTATTTTTTTAGACTATTTGAGATCAACACAAGTTTTTTAAATCAGTTTTTTTCAACAAGTTTGAAAAAATGTATGGTTTGATCTCTACGTCCATTTGTGCATATTAAAATTATTACTTTGCAATTATTTTTCAGGTTCCTTCTTGACCTTAAAAGAGAGTGCTATAGTGATGTCAGTATTTCCAGTAATTTTTTGGTATTTCATTCATGTTTATGCCAGAGAGTCCATATTATTACTTAATTAGAAATAAACCAGAGAAAGCTAAGGACTCACTAAAGGTAACTAAAAGTCAATTAGGCATACAGGGTCTTTTAAAAAACATTTGCCTTTTTTTCATTTTTTATATCAAGATAGGTCCGATTCTGTTTTGTTTAGTAGCTACAGGGGGTTGAAGTCTTAATAATAATTTTCTTCTAACTGATTTTAAGGAATTGAATCCTTGAAGTTGGGGAGTAAATTTACTAGTGTTACATATTTTAATGTTAAAAAAGTGTCGCCAGTTTCATCAGAGACGTGAATCTGAGTTATCACTAAAATATTTTTCAAAAAAACATATGCGTCACTGACTTTTTTCTCTTGATAGCAAAATTGTGTAGGCCGTACTTGTCTTGATATTTTGTCGACTTCGGCCTCCTTGGTGAGATAAATACAATAATTTTAGTAATCACAATTAATAAAATTATAGTAAAAATATAAATAATTAACAATTTACTTAATCTAATTTATTCTTAAATTTCATTAAAATGTATAACGCTGATGTTCAGTGCCATCCAAAGAAAATTACAAAAGATTTATTTTTTAATATCCTATAACTTTGTTTATAGGGACTTTTTTTTATATACTTTATGAAATTGAAATTCGGTATTGCATTTTTCGAATACCCTGTATAAGAGGAGCTATAAAAATAAATAGATACCTGAACAATAAATATGTCAAAAATATAAAATAATTAAACTAAATCTTGAAAAATATACAAAAATAGGTAATAGATCACAGATACACAGATCCGCCAAAATATTATTTGAAAACAATTGTTGATTTATTAAAAAATTGAATATTAAATTAAATCTCCTATTTATCTTATTTCGATAAACACCCTGTAATACAGGGTGTCCCAAGCTGAGTGTGCATTAGAAGTTTCTAGAGAACTACAACATCTAGATAGGAGATTTCTTGATTAATAATATCATTTATTATTATATACTATTATTAGTTTCTCAATGAGATCTATCGATTAAAAATATTTTCAATATGGTGGCAATTCCGGAAAAACCGGAAGTTGGCAGCAACTTTCTTATTTTAAACGGGTGCCCCCATTTTTTATTACATACTTAAATTCTCTGTAAAATTTTATAAATTTTGATATAACACTCTATATTTAACATTAACCGTTATTGAGAAAAAATTATGTAAAATTTTTGAAGAAAAAAAAACTGCCTGTCAAAAATATGTGTATAGCCTAAAGGTTAAATTTAGTTATTACCACAGCCACTGTGCCATAAAGAGAAGACATGTGGCTATCTATTTCAAAAATTAAATTGTTCGAATGTCATATAATAATGGCCGCTGCTGTCATGGAATTGAGCGATTAAAAAATTAACATAAATCATTTTTTTTTCGATGAAAACCCACTTTTTTATTTCACTAGAGAAAAAACTTTTCAATTTGTTACCTTTTGACTACACATATTCCTATACCTAAAATAATTAGTTGTTAAGTTATTTAAGATTTAGTTTTAACGCGTATATTTTTCTTGATTTTAACCAGTAGCCTATGACTTTAAACGTCGAGTGATGTAAAACAATATATAGATCTGGCCATGCCATATTGTGACACTTTGTTCAAAAAGCAGTATGTTACCGATCATCATTTCCAAGCCAACTTTGCGCTGTTTTTTTTTCGATCATACAGTATATTATTAATAATATCAACTATTAGATATCACTAAAGAGCGAAAATACGAAATATATTTTTATAAATACACTTTTTAAACTCTTAAGCAGCATTATTTATAATGTAGGAAATTCAAATAATTTGTTTTCTGACAGATGGAAATAAATTGTCTGACTGTTTGAAACTTAATGTCAAAGGAAGCTAGATATAAAATAAAAAAAAATTACGTTTTCAAACTAAGCTCTGTCAACTTCCGGTATTTCCGGAAGTGGCGCCATATTGAAAATATTTTTAATCGATAGGTCTAACTGTAAAACAATGATGTGTAAAAAATATCCGACCAAGATATGAACTTCTATAGAGAGCTCAATTCTCTAGAAAAATCTAATGCACGTTCGGCCTGTGACACCATGTATACTTATTAAATTATTAATTAAATGACCCCACACCCGACATTTCATCATCCGATAGTTTGGGTACCTAGGTCGACTCAGCCTTAAATGAGTACTGGGGATTCACAATCCTGAGGTAATAATAAGCGGTTGAAGCGTAGTGCTAGCCACATTACCTTCCGTGTATATCGAACGTCTCTAGCATGGCAACCTAACCTTGCTACTCCCAAGGCGTTAAACGCTATATACGGGTGCTATTATTATTATTAAAAGACACATTAAAACCTCTGATGAAAGCAAGTTAACGCAAATTTATTACAAAATGTTCAATTATCCCGAAGATAGGTGGTATTTTAAACTTTTAGACCGTAGTAAAGATATACTCTGTATATTACGTACAAATTTTATTTATGTAATTGTTTTTTTCTCTATCTGTTTATAACTTTAAAACTGCCTCTACACTTTCGCAAAATAACCCGAAGTAGGTCAGGGCGTATAGTGAAGAGGTATATTTCTTATTTCCTCGCCTAATCGACTTTGACCTACTTCGGTCTATTTCTCGAGTAGTATAGTGGCAGTTAAAGAAAATAATTTTTGCACAAAAAATTTTGACTACATTCGAAGTAATTTATATCCTGTTTCAGATATTAAGAAGAAAGTATGACGTCGAAAAGGAATTTGCCCAACTTACGATAGACGTACAAAACCAAATGTCGGAAAGAGGCAGTTTCAAAGACCTTTTTTTCATACCCATCAACAGAAAAGTGCTGATTTTTGTAACACTACTGAGATTATTTCAAATGTTCACCGGATATTCCGCATTCGTCTCCTACAGTCAACTTATGATAGTTCAAACGACAAACTTATCACCAGTACTCGGCTCTTCGTTGATCAGCCTAGGAGGGATTTTAGCTATGATTATAGCATCAACTTTTATAGACAAGATCGGACGAAGAACTCTGTTTTTATCTTCTATAGTTCTCTGCTTCACTGCTTTGATATCAATGGCGTTATTTTTAAGTTTGCGTGATTACACATCAGTTGATTTATCGTCAGTCTCGTTCATGCCCTTGGTGTTTATAATTTTCTACAACATTGTATTTTGCGGCGGTTTAGGATTGGCAGTTAATATTTACATTGCTGAAATATATTCTGCCAATATTAGAGCCAAAGGACTGTCAATAGGCAGTATAACTTTTGCTATTGCTATTATTAGTACTACAAAATTGTACCAGTATACTGCTGATTATGTCGGCGCTTCAGTTCCCTTTTACTTATTCTCTGTGGTATCGGTGTTCGGGTTTATTTTTATTTACTTTTATTTACCGGAAACTAAGGGTAAAACACTGGGTGTGATTCAAGACGAGTTAAGAGGGAAAAGAAATAAATCCATTATTAGTTTAAGTAATTTCAAGCAATAATAATTATTATAAGACTTCAACTCAAATAAGAAAAGCAACTGAAAAGTCTGTGATATTTTATTAAATTTATTTTTAAGGTATTGCAAATTATAGATAATTAAATTTTAAACCGTGTTTTATTTATTTATAGCTCCTTATTATTACCTGTATTAAATAATAACTAGAAGAAATTATAACGTTTAAATTTAACACCACCAGGTTTAGTATACCGGGTGGTGCATCGTCGTTGGAAACATACGAAATCAAATGCAAATTTTGAATAGTCCAAATATTGGTTCCCCTGTTAATTTTACAGCGAAGTCGTAAATAGGTTTTTAAAGGTCCAAGTGTACTGAATACACCTCCTTCTATAGTCCTCCTACTCTATGTGCCTGCTCACCAAGGTATAGAAGGCAATGAAAAAGTAAATGATCCAGCTAAAAAAAACGAAATAATTTTTGCACAAAAAATTTTGACTGCATTCGAAGTAATTTTTGATCCTGTTTCAGATATTAAGAAGAAAGTATGACGTAGAAAAGGAATTTGCCCAACTCACGATAGACGTACAAAACCAAATGTCGGAAAGAGGTAGTTTCAAAGACCTTTTTTTCATACCCATCAACAGAAAAGTACTGATTTTTGTAACTCTACTGAGATTATTTCAAATGTTCACCGGATATTCCGCATTGGTCTCCTACAGTCAACATATGATAGTTCAAACGACAAACTTATCACCAGTACTCGGCTCTTCATTGATCAGCCTAGGCGGGATTTTAGCTATGATTATAGCATCAACTTTTATAGACAAGATCGGACGAAGAACTCTGTTTTTTTCTTCTATAGTTCTCTGCTTCACTGCTTTGATATCAATGGCGTTATTTTTAAGTTTGCGTGATTACACATCAGTTGATTTATCGTCAGTCTCGTTCATGCCCTTGGTGTTAATAATTTTCTACAACATTGTATTTTGCGGCGGTTTAGGATTGGCAGTCAATATTTACATTGCTGAAATATACTCTGCCAATATTAGAGCCAAAGGACTGTCAATAGGCAGTATAACTTTTGCTGTTGCTATTATTAGTACTACAAAGTTGTACCAGTATACTGCTGATTATGTCGGTGCTTCAGTTCCCTTTTACTTATTCTCTGTGGTATCGGTGTTCGGGTTTATTTTTATTTACTTTTATTTACCGGAAACTAAGGGTAAAACATTGGGTGTGATTCAAGACGAGTTAAGAGGGAAAAGAAATAAATCCATTATTAGTTTAAGTAATTTCAAGCAATAATTTTTATAAGACTACAACTCAAATAAGAAAAGCCACTGAAAAGTCTGAGATATTTTATTAAATTTATTTTTAAGGTATTGCAAATTATAGATAATTAACTTTTAAACAGTGTTTTATTTATTAATAGCTCCTTATTGTTATCTGTATTAAATAATAACTAGAATTAACCATAACGTTTAAATTTAACACCACCAGGTTTAGTATACCGGGTGGTGCATCGTCGTCGGAAACATAGGAAATGAAATGCAAATTTTGAATAGTCCAAGTATTGGTTCCCTTGTTAATTTTACAGCAAAGTCGTAAATAGGTTTTTTAAAGGTCCAAGTATACTGAATACACTTCCTTCTATAGTCCTCCTACTCTGGGTACCTGCTCACCAAGGGATAGAAAGCAAATGATCTAGCTAGAAAAGGAGAGAACACTTCACTAACTGGACCAGAACCGTTCTGTTTTCCAAGCGGGAACCAACTGAAACTGGAACTGTAGAATCTGGAAGACTCCATCCGTAACTTGGAATGGGTGTCCTCCAACGGTCTAAGACACTCGAAAAAGTCCTCAGGACTTACGACCGAGAAAAATCAAAGGTTTTCCTTGATTTAAGTAAAAACAATCTGCGGATTGTCATGGGGTTTCTTACAGGACATTGTCTCCTTAACGAACACCTGTGTAGGCTGAACCTGAGAAACAATGGCGAATGCAGATTCTGTGGGAAAAATTGGGAAACACCAGAACACCTTATCACTGAGTGCACCGAGACGACGACCATTCGTGCCATGAATTTTGGTACGTCTGATGTCGAGAACAGAGAGCTGGCCTCTGTGGAGCCGTCTCAGATACTGGCTTTTGTTCATACCCATCAACAGAATAGTGCTGATTTTTGTAACTCTACTGAGATTATTTCAAATGTTCACCGGATTTTCCGCATTCGTCTCCTACAGTCAACTTATGATAGTTCAAACGACAAACTTATCACCAGTAAGTTTTCGGCTCTTCATTGATAAGTCTGGGAGGGATTTTAGCTATGATCGGATTTTAGCGAGATCGGACGAAGTACTTTGTTTTTATCTTCTATAGTTCTCTGCTTCACTGCTTTCATATCAATGGCATTATTTTTAAGTTTGCGTGATTACACATCAGTCGATTTATCGTCTGTCTCCTTCATGCCCTTGGTTTTTATCATTTTCTACAACATTGTATTTTGCGGCGGTTTAGGATTGGCAGTTAATATTTATATTGCTGAAATATACTCTGCCAATATTAGAGCCAAAGGACTGTCAATAGGCAGTATAACTTTTGCTGTTGCCCTTATTAGTACTACAAAGTTGTACCAGTATACTGCTGATTATGTCGGTGCTTCAGTTCCATTTTACTTATTCTCTGTAATATCGGTGTTCGGGTTTATTTTTATTTACTTTTATTTTCCGGAAACTAAGGGTAAAACCTTCGGTGTGATTCAAGACGAGTTAAGAGGGAATAGAAATAAATTCATTATTAGTTTAAGTAATTTCAAGCAATTTAATATATATATATATATATATATATATATATATATATATATATATATATATATATATATATATATATATATATATATATATATATATATATATATATATATATATATATATATATATTAATAATATTAATATTTTTATAATATATTTTTTTATTTTTAGACTTTTATAATATGATGCAATTTAAATGCAGATTCTGTGGGGAAAATGGGAAAACACCAGAACACCTTATCACTGAGTGCGCCGAGACGACGACCATTCGTGCCATGAACTTTGGTACGGCTGATGTTGAGGACGTAGAGCTGGTCTCTATGGAGCCATCTCAGATACTGCTTTTGTTAAAGCCCTGAGACTATATGATGAGTTATAAATCGTTATAACTCAAGAAAGGGGAACACACAAATGATCTGTAAGGTCCCGGTGATTAACTTAACCTCCTAAACATTCTACATTCTCTGAATACACGTGCCAAATTTGAACAATTTTGGACAGCTGAAATTTATTCAGCTGATCATGGCACAAATCATGGCGTCTCGTACGATTAATTATTGAACCAGTCATTGTAAGCAATGAATTTTTTGAAACATACTTTATTGCTGATAATTATCTATCGCAGCATTTCTCATCGTGTTATTTTCTTTTAATAAAAAGTTTATTGAAATACATCTGTGCCCAAAAATTACCAGAAATAAGTATTTAAAAATTTTCTCCCAATTGTAAAATAGATAAAATACAGAATTTTAGTGATTTTTCCAGGGGGTAAGTACATGGGGCAATGTGGTGTACAACCTAGGGGCATTGTCGGGCAGTGCGGGGCAATGCCAGGCATTGCGGGGCATTGGGCATTGTCGGGTGTTGCGGGGCATTGTGGGGCATTGCGGGGCATTGCGGGGGTATTATGAGGCATTGTTGGGCAATATGAGGCATTGAAAGGGCAATGTGGTACAATATTTAAGCTAAATATATTGCGCGCGCATACTCCTCCCACCTTCACTTTGATTACGTCATTACGTGACCAACACTCAAACGGCTTGCAGTCGTCAGCGCAACGGGTCAACGCTCTAGCTCCAGCCAGCTTGTTTATTGTTTCGGAGTATGTAGTTATTATCGCAGTATGTATATGGGAGTTCATTTTAAGCGATACCACTATTGCTATCTCCAAAATGGAAAGAGCTATACGGTCGGTTAAATTAGGGAAAAGTTGCCTGTCTGCAGTTTCTATACCTACCTATAAATATGAACTATTCGTGTGTTATTAGTCCTAAGTTGTTTTTGCGAAAGCGAGTTTATTTTTTATATTTCTGTTATGTGTAGTTTTTTAATAAAAAATATAAATATTATGGTTTTTGTGCCTTTAGGTAATTTGTTATGACAATAAAATACATAAGAACTATGTAGGAACTATAAAAAAGTGTTTACCCTTTTTAATATTATTTGTCTCTTTTCACCACATGCAATGAAAAGTGGTAGATATATATTGCATTATGGGGCATTGCCAGGCAATGTTGGGCAATACGTGGCATTGTTGGACAATACGAGACATTATTGGGCAATACGGGGCATTGTTGGGCATGGTTGAGTAGGAAAGGGGCATTACGGGGCAATATTCGAGTAATTGAGGCATTCATAACCTTTTGGTGTACAGAAATTGGTCATATACTGGATTTTTCACAAGATCTGGATTTTTTTGTGAAGTTGAAGAAATATGAAGGATTTTTAAGGCCCCGCTAAAGGAATTCGCTTGAAAATACTGGTCTTAGTGGACTCTAAACCCAGTTTTATTTAACTAAATGCTGTTTTTTAAGAGAATATTACACAATATTATATTATTCTATCTATTTCTGCGATGTTAATCATTTATATATTTAGAAATAACGACAAGTACGCTCAAGGAAACTCTAGAAAATTCCAACTAGCACTGTACAAATTGTTTCTTGTTTTTTTCCATAATATAAAATATGTAATAGTTTGAAACAGACAGTCTGCCAGTAGAGTAAATCATGATAAAGCAAATTTGTTAATCGCGCTAAGTAAATTGGCAAATATCTTTTTTTTAATTATATGCCAGCAATAAATTTTTGTCAGTGTATTTTAGTAGTGCTTCATTCAGTATCGTTCTCTTTTTAACCTACAGTTTAGAACTGTTGAGTGTAATAATTTATACATCTACTCGAATTGTTTCATCATTTTTCACAACAAATATGAAATTATTTATAGAAAAATCATTACAAAAAAATGACGGCAGCCACTTGACGCAATATCTAGCAGCTATTTCAGGTAAGTAGTTTTTAATTTTTATAATATAGAGAGTGGCAATGTGAAAGGAGCAGTTTGAGAGGGAAATTTTAATGGAAATCAAAAATTTACGTACTTTTTGACTGGCCTTTTATAGGGTAAAATACCAAACAAACAATTGTATATCGCTGAAAAGTTCATTGCTGTCTCTACAAGGTGAGTCAGAAATATTTGCAAATATTGTCAAGGCTGATAGATATCGATAGAAGAAACATATTTTCTCTTTACTGTTTTTCAAATAAGTCCAAAATAGCTGAGTTATTTTACTTCGAAAATTAAAAAAAAAATTTTTTGCTTCAATTTTGAGAACCACTTGATCTTTTCTGGGTTTTCTTTCTTGTAAATTTAATCTTCTACCTATATTCCCATATTATCAAGAAATTATGTTTTTTAACTAAAAACTAAAAAACAGTTCAGGGGTCGAAATATTCCACCCCTAAAAATCATCATCATCTTTTTGAGGTTATTCAACCATATCAATTATGGTGTAGCTTCCCTCACATACTCTCTTTGTAGTTGGGCCCATTGTTGTCTATTGTTAGCGATGCGTCAATAAATTATCCGATCTTAGGTTCGGTCTTCCTCTAGGTCGCTTAATTCTTCGTGGGTATTATGCAGTCATTTTTGTGGGCCATCTGGAGTCCTGCCCATTGCCATTAGGTATTTGACTCTGTGGGGATGACATCTATTACCTAGGTCTTTTGTCGTATCCACTCTATTCTTTTACGGTCTCTCTGGGTTATTTCCAGCATATTTCGTTTCATTGAGCGTTGTGCGACCTGCAGTTTCCTTATGATATCCGTTTGAAGTATCCAGATTTTGCATGCATAGGTTGTGACTGGTAGTACACATTGGTCGAATGTTTTCTTCTTTAAATAAAGTGGCATTCTAGAATTGAATATGATTGAGTTCATGTCAACTTAATTCTTCTGTTGATTTCTGGTAGGAGAGATCCCGAACTATGTATTATTTATCCCAAATACATATATTCTTCTACTATTTCCAGTGTTGTGTTATTACTATATATTTATTAGAATGTCTTTTCCTTCCCCTAGTTCGTTGTACATTACTTTACTTTTTGCTAAATTCATTTTGAGACTCACTTTATTGCTGGCTGTATTTATTTTATCAATTTGTGCTTCTAGTTCTTCAGTACTATTGGCAATTAGGACTATGTGATCAATTAGGACAAGTCAAAAATATTTGCACTTATTTAAGACTCGCCCATATATTGAATTTTTAAAAAAGATCTGTTTTTAACAAGTAAGCAACGTTTTCAAAAAGTAAAAAAATCGAAATTACTTAATTCTTACTTTTTATTAGACAGTTTTTTATAAAATCTCTTGATATTCTCGATCACTATTATTTTTGAAATCATCAAGAAACAATTTATTAAAAATAATGTCTGTACCTTTGTAGCGACATTTCTTGAAAAAGGCCTCTGACAGAGAAATCTACAAAATTAAAAAATATGTTAAATTCAAATGTCAACGGTTAATGATAAATGTATATCTGCTGCGAAAGGTAAAAGGTTCTTGAAACCTCTTGCAAAGCATTTTCTGTCAGTTAGGCAAATTTATTTACTTTGTAAAATGCCACTTCCAAGCTGGCGACAAGCTGGATTCAACGTAGTGGTGTTTACAAAATAAAATACTTTTTTATTTTGTAAAATTTTCTTCCAATGGCCTATAACCCAACATTTTTTCAAGAAACGTTTTTTTAATTTAACAGATGCTTGATGGTCGATCAGACTATTTCTTTGTGCATATTATATACTTTATAAGTTGTGATTTATGCCATAGGATAAATAACCAAAACATGTTTTAGCTTCTTTGACATTTTTTATGTTTGGTGGATACCAAGGATGGACTGCCCCCTCCTTAGTTAAACTTCTCTCTGACGAATATCCCATACCAATTAGCCAAGAAGATGCATCTATCGTAGCGACCATTGGTTGTCTAGGCCATGTAATTGGTGGCTTCCTAGGTTCATCTTTGTCAGATTTAATTGGTAGAAAAACTACTATTATGAGTATTGGTATACCTCAAGTACATATTATACAGTTCACTGTGCCTGAAGAGTGCAGCTGGATTTTTTTTTCTTATAAATATATATCATGGAAATGAGTCTCACACTATTATTTTTAGATCATTTCACCGACTTTAGTATATTTTTCCGATTCATCCAAATATATGTTGTACGCTGCAAGAATAGTTGGTGGAATAGGAGAAGGAGCTAATATAGCAATTGTAGGAAGCTACATAGCTGAAATAGTGGTGCCAAAAGTACGCGGCATATTAGGAGGCTTTACTACAATTTTTATTTGTTTAGGAATGCTCACAGTTAACGTCACTGGTAAGAAACAATAGTAATTATTTTAATATATGGTAATATATTTTAATAAATGGTAATATATGGTAATATATTTTAATTAAAAAATTACTAGATAAATTTTACATTTGTTATTTAAGATACAATATTATTTTCCGAATATATTAAGACGAAAATATTGTGCTACTAATCACAAGTATACACGGTTTTGGACCTGAGCAACTAAAAGCAATTTCTAAGATAATTTTTGGAGCTGAATCCAAATCAGCAGTCCATTTTTTAAGATCGGTAATAGTTTTCGAAATATTCAATAAATTCTTTACTTTACTATTTTTGACCGTTAACGGTCATTTATTGAATTAAACAATATAAATCAGAAATGAACAGAGGTTGAACTGAGTTTAAGTTTTTCTGAGTTTTATACTGCTTGGGATCTGTTTCACGGATTAGGGTCGAACAGTAATCGCTCATCATGCCTTCGTCCCAAAATCCTTGGTATCGCCTTTCGATTTTCGCTATATCTTGGTGTACCCGCTCTTCTTGCTTGTCGCTCGTGTCGCCCAAGTTTTGTGGAAAAAAATTAAGATGTGAATGCAGAAGATGTGTCTTGAGAGACATTCGAGCTCTAATCTTGTGGTAATTTTGAAACAAATTGTCGATTACTTGCTTGTAATCCGGTGATTTATGATTACCGAGAAAGTTGTGAACAACACTTTGAAACGATGCCCATGCTGCTGCCTCATCAAGCGTTAAACATTTTGTAAACGTTGCGTCAGCCATTAGTTTTCGAATATCATGTCTGACAAATATTCCTTCTTTGATTTTTGCGTATGACAGTTTTGGAAACAACTTGGTTAAGTACTGGAAAGCCGGTCCTTCGCGATTGAGCGCTTTGACAAAGTTCTCAATAAGGCCAAGTTTAATGTGAAGAGGTGGCAGTAAAACGTTCTATGGGTTTACAAGTGGTATCAACGTCGTTAACTGACCGTGCGTCAACTACCCGGGCCGTTATAAGAGCGTAGTGCTACTGCCATGCGCGAACTCGAAAACTAGAGCCAATCTTGACAAACGGATTGAAGATCTGAGTTCAGGGCATCAAATAACGTTAAGAATTGCGTTCTCATCTGCTCGGGTCCAAAAGTTGACCTGGATTTGTAAACTTGTGATAATTATATTAATCATTTTAACAAGTACTGAGGATAATAATAAGGATAATAGCTAGGTTTCCGAATTGTTATACATGTTGTCCCAGAAACAAGTGCAAGTATTATTTTTTTAAGATGGTAGATCTGGCTAAAATAAATATATTTTCTCTTTATCATTTTAAAAATAAATTGATAATAACCGGGTTATTTAACTTCGAAAATTTAAAAAAATAATGGTAACATTTTGAGAGCCGCCGGCAGCAATCGATATAAGTCGCAAATACCAAACAATTACCAGAATCTCAGTTTGTTCTACGTCCAATGTTGACACATTGACTAGAAAGATTTAAAAACGACTTGAAAAATTCAGATTAAAAGTAAAAAACTTACCTAATATGAAAAAACGAGACTTCGATTACATCGGTTTATCACTTTACCTAGAACCATAACTTTACACTTAACAAAGGTGGCAACATTGCATTTCTTCGAAGATAACAATTACCCCAAACTGAACAAGCGACACTCAAAAGTTTTTCAATATTTTCCGGAAAATGTCCAGAAAAATATAAAATTTTCAATATTTTTTTTGCAAAAAATCTCACGAGCGAATATACTACCAGTCGAGCTACCAGTGAAAATACTTGCACTTATTTGTGGGACACCCTGTACAGGTATAGTGAAAATTTGTTAGCTACATTTTATTAGTGAAACATTAAAATATTTTGTAGGATCATATTTGACAATAAAAGAAACATCTTTAGTAATGGCTTTATTTCCGGTAATATTCTGGATATGCTTTATGTTTATGCCCGAAAGTCCATATTATTACTTGATGAAGAATAAACCTGAAAAAGCTAAGGAATCGTTAAAGGTTTGTATAAATACGTACTAGTACCACACGATAAAAAAAACTGCGTCAAAGACGGCTGTGAATGACAAGCGATGATTATTTTGCGGATGCCGATCTCACCGTAACGTCACTTAGTAATCAAATTAACACAATTATAGAAATATTAAAAGAGCAGGATAGAACGTTTCCTGACACAAAAATATGTTTATAAAAATTTTTTTTTCGAATTTTAAACTACGCCATATAAAATAGTTATAGTCTATAAAATGAATAACTTTGAATTTTGACCGTTATTTTTTACCAACATGGCAAATATAAAAGCCCTCTATCCAAAAAGTTACTGATATTCTTTAAAATAAGTGCCTGATCGAATCAGATAGGTAACTCTAAATTCGTAAAATAGAAAAGGAAAATAATAAAACAGGTGACAGTTCTTCCTCTTCTTGCAAAAATTAACGCAAAATGTCATAATTGACAAAAGTAAAATGTCATCAGCCTTTGACATTTCTAAATATCAGACCAATGCTGTCTCTAATAGAACAGCCTCGGAGCGAGATTTATGACGTCACGCTAGTTAGATACCACGGATTAATAAATATGTTGTAGAATACACGGAAAACATAATTATTCCTCGTACTTTTGGTTTGTATTTTAAGAATGATATAGTTTACATGAAATATACATAATATACAGTTAATAAATATAATATATATACCTATTTATAGTAATAAATACTTTGACAAATAAACTATGAACCATACAAATGCATCAAATGTTTTACAATATACAAATAATGAATAGGTACATAAGATAATGGGTAATATGTAAAATATATTTTAAATTTTGGTTTTTGAAAATCGATCTAATTTAACAAAAATATTCAATATCTACTAATAGTGATGTATTATTATTTGCATTCACAAAATTTATATGTATATTTTGCAAGCATCAATGTTCGAAAAATTATATTTGCAAATAATACAATATCATAGAAAAAAAGGCGTCAGCGATGGCTATAAAATAAAGATCGCTGTCATTTTATATGTAAAATTATTCTAAAATTTTTTGTTATAGCTAACGTTTATAGCCTTCATCAGTGTTATGTCATATGAAAAAAATAGTGTCGAATATAATCCTAAAAATTACATATACGAGGAATAATTATGTTTTCCATCATTCTACAACATAGTTAATCCGTAGTATCTAAATAGCGTGACGTCATAAATCTCGCTCCGGGGCTGTTCTATTAGATGGCATCAGCATGGCCTAGCATGGCCGCAAGTTGCTAACCTAATAAAATTAACACTAGAAAAGCCCGCAGGAACTGTCAAATTCAAAGTTATTCGTTTCACAGACTATATATATATACAGTGCAAGTGTGTTTATGAACATGATTACAACAACGAGTGTGAACGATTAAGCGAGTATTGTAATCATGTTTAAACGCACGTGTCATGTACAACGTTTTATCTACAACCGAAAAATAAGAAAATGCTGTTTTAATTTTCGTTTGTTAGTCGCCTACCTTTAACACCTTTAGTCCAGACAGACCTTAGACCTTTCAGTTAGACCTTCACTATTATCATCATCATCATCAGCAGCAGGAATTATTTTGAAGAAGTGTTAAAAATATGTTATTAATATTTATAATAATAATTAGTAGTAGGAATTTGTATAAAAAATTAATATATTTAGAGGTTCGTAGTTGTTTTTCATTATTATAAAAACTAGTTGTGTTATTAATCTCATAACGTAACTGAAATACTAAAAAATTAGTGATGTAAAAACGTTATAATTAAACGGTTGTAGATAAATAATTTTTACTCAATACAAAAATAAATTATTCGAACCTTCTTAAGGCCATCTGGCAGTATGGGCCAAGTAAATAACGTCTATATTAACGACAAAATTATCATCGATTGTTTATCGTTATTTTTCAATCGTATGGTACTAAATAAATACTTTTTTCCTCCTTTCTTTTGAAAACTAACTATTTTAATAAATATGTTCATAAAAAATTACATCATGCAATTTTATAAATAATTAAAAAATGGATACTTTTTCCTTCCTTTTATTTATATATTTTCTTTTCTAGATTTTAAGGAGAAAGCACGACATTGAAAAAGAATTTGACCAATTAACGTTAGATGTTCAAAGACAGATGTTGGCAAGAGGTGGTTTCAGAGATTTGTTCTGTATTCCTATAAATCGACAAGTTTTAATATTGGTCACACTGCTAAGATTCTTTCAATTCTATACTGGCTATATGGCTTTCACAGCCTACATGCAACTAATGATAGTCCAGACCACAAACTTAAGCCCTGTATTTGGATCCTCTTTGCTTTTTTTAGCTGGAATTCTTGTCATGATCCCAGGCTTATTTTATATCGACAAAATCGGAAGAAGAACACTATTTCTTATATCGATGGTATTGTGTTTTGCAGCTCTGATTTCAATGGCTGTATTTTTAACTATTCGAGACTACAGTACTATAGATTTGTCATCTGTGTCATATATGCCATTGATATTTGTTACATTGTACAACATATTCTTCTGTGGTGGTTTAGGATTAGGCGTTAACATTTATATTGCAGAGGTATATCCTGCAAACATCAAGGCAAGTGGTCTGGCAATTGCAAGCATAGTGTATGCTTTCACTGTCACGAGCAGCACTAAAATATATCAGTTCACTGCCGATTATGTAGGTGCATCAGTACCATTTTATATCTTTGCTGGTACTACTGTTCTTGGAGTTATATACATTTATTGTTTTGTCCCTGAGACAAAAGGAAAAACTTTAGGAATGATACAAAATGAACTGAGAAATAGACGAAAGTGATCTGTAGTGTGAATGTAAAGAAACTTTTAGTTTAAGATATTTATTTGAAAAAAAAAAATAAGAAGTCTGTGATACATGCATTGACTACATCTTTTAATTTTAGTTATAAAAAGAGAACGAATATTAAAATGTGATGACAGATGCAAAATTTTGAGAAATGATGGGTATGGATAATAATACAGATCTCAAAACATAACTTTAGATTATGGAAAGAAGTTAGATTTTTTTTAAATATTTGACTGTTATACAGGGTGAGTCTTAAATAAGTACAAATATTTTTAAATAATAATAGCTCCCGTATATAGCGTTTAACGCCTTGGGAGTAGCAAGGTACAGCTTGCCATACTAGAGCCGTTCGGTATACAAGGAAGGTAATGTAGCTAAGCGTATGCTAGCACTATGCTTCAACCGCCTATTATTACCTTAGGATTGTGAATCCCAAGTACTCATTTAAGGCTGAGTCGACCTAGGTACCCAAACTATTTTTATTGTAATAAAAATAGTCGGCTGATGAAATGCCGGGTGTGGGAATCGAACCCACACCTTGAGATTGGTAGACGAGAGCCTGTACCTCTACACCACCGAGCACCTCACAAATATTTTTAAGGGTACCTTGTATATTTCGACCCCAGATCAAGATTATTAGTTTTTTTGGCAAAACTTTTTTTTAAATCTTTTTTTAGTTTTTAGTTAAAAAACATAATAGTAGATTAAATTTACAAGAAATAAAACCCAGAAAAGATACAGTGGTTCTCAAAATTTAAGCAAAAAATCATTTTTTTTGTAAATTTTCAAAGTAAGATAACTCGTTATTTTGGACTTATTTGAAAAACGGAAAAAAGAAAATATGTTTCTTTTATGGAGATCTACCAGCCCTGCAAATATTTGTACTTATTTAAGACCCACCCTGTATAATGTACCTTCATCACATCACTCTTAATCATAAATGTCTACGTCTATGACATTGATTTAGTAAAATTTACTTATTCACTGTCAATATACTTTTATTAATATTATTATTGGATTCAACATAATCTAAATCTTAATAGATCTAAATATTACTACATAATCGTATGCAATCTTTTTTGATATCTGTGTAAATCTCTGTTTGTAAATTAAGTAGCAATTGGGGGCGGGGGGTAAATCATTTAACGAGAATCACATAAACCAACAGGAAATTCAATTACTTTATTTTACTCCAATAAAGTTCAGGTTTTCAAGTCCTATTTTATTCATAACTCGAATCTAAACAAAATATACAGTAAAAAACTAAATAATTATGTACTGCATATTATAAGCTCAAAGCATTAGTGCTAACAAATGCCAACTCAGAATCTTGACAAAATTATCATTTTATAACAAAAAACGAATATGTAGTAGTAGAATATAAGTAATAAAAAATTAATATGTAGTAGTAATAATTACCCAAAATATAATGCTAATCACGTATTATATTTATTGTAATATGAAAGATAAGGAAAAAAATCGACGATGTCACAATATTCACTTTGGCAGAGAAAACTGATTTAATGTTGCCGAATACTAACTTAAAGATACAAAAAAAATGTTACTGTATGCATTATTATTTGGACATCGTTTGTTATGGTGCATAAATTTAAATAAAAAAGAATTTTATACTTTTGGTCTTCTCGAGTTAATAATGGAATTTATTTTATAGATGGCACACAATATATTGATAGACAATATCTTTTATTTTCCACACAAGATATTTGTAAATCTTATTACCACTTCTAAGTCAAATATATAAAAGAATACAGTTATTTTAACAATAGTTATTGCATTTTTATTTATTTCTTCATTATTCCAAAAATTCGATCCAAATGAATATTTTGTGTAGGTATATTGTAATATTTTAGTACCTAATATACGTCGATACACTATGATAATACCTATCCCACCTCCAACGGTCTAAGCCGATCAGCAGCATCGCTCGATCATCAGCAATTCTATTGGTTGAAATTTTTTACAGCTGAATTTTTGAAACTCTCAGGGAATATCGACAGGCTACACGTATACAAATGACCGGAAATATAATTTAACAGGAAATAAACATGACAGCTGTTTTCAGCTTTTTTAGTAGATCAGTGCATATATACTTCGGTTATCTATATATTAATACACAACTTTCCACTTATTCCGGAAAACTACAGAAAGAAATAATTTATATTTACATAATAAGACAAAGGACGATCAAATGAAAGATAAGCCATAAGTTAGGTTAGGTTGGGTTGCTGGGGTTTGGGATCATGTTTGATTCGTCACTCGGAGGCCTTGGGCCTATTGCGATACCCATGTTATTGTTCTACCAAACCTTCCTCTCATTCTTTCTTTGCGTTAAAGCACTTCCAGCTCTTTGCAAGGTTCCCAATGTCGCTGATGTTGGCTTCGGCTGCTTCCTCTTTTTTTTTTTTTTTGTTAGAGAAGAGGGGAAGCGATTTACCGCCGTAGTGTGGGGCTCGATGCGACAATGCGATATTAGCCGCATAATACCCACTAAACCCCTCTCCTATGCTAGGAGTGGATGTCGATCGCCGTGAAGCATACGGATGCATCCACTCCTACCTTTACTAGTCACTCCGTCGACGTTGAATCGCTCTAGTAGCTCGCTTAAACTTAATCTTTATTATCACAGAATCGATTATCACTGACAGGGGCCCATGCAGGACAATTTACATAGTTCTATTACGTCTTGCGGCCACTACCTCGTCGACTTCAAAAAGAATATCGAGACACAGCTGGTCAACAGCCTTCCAGCAGTGCTCATCACGCAGCATAACCGTGATGAGGCTTCCCTCAGTCAGAGATCCTGTGATGGCTTCCGTCTCAGTTCTCAGTGCCGCATGTCGATCGCATTCCAATAGTACGTGCCCGGCATTCTCTACATCGCCACAAGCTCCGCAGTGAGGAGAGGCAGCTTTTTCGATGCGATGCCTGTAGGCAGCGAACGTACCATGTCCGCTCATCCAGCGCCGAATCCATCCGCCCCGATCGCTCTTTGCCATCTTCTATTCCACAGCTCCAGGAATTTTTCTTTTTTTGCCTTGATGGCACCTTTTTCTAGCCCGTAAGATTCGCTCCTATATCTTGCTTGTAGGTCTAAAGGCATTATTCCAGCGAGCACTTGTAGTGCTTCTGTGGACACTGTCATGTTTGCCCTACTTACATACAGGAGCACCGTCCTCTGTACCCGGTTTAGAGCGTCAACATTCTTTGCCAGCTATAGAGCGGTTTCTACCCATGTGGGTGCAGCATACAGCACAGCCGACGCGTGTGCAGTTGCCAGCATCCTGCGTGCCCAATCGCCGGCGCCACCATCGCGCGGCATGAGTCTTGTTAGGGCTCTTGCACTCTCCGCTGCATTCTTTGCCTTTGTCTGAGTGTGGTAGACAAAGGTGCCATTTTTGTCTAGCCAGACGCCCAAGTATTTAATCTCGTCCTTAATTGGCACTTGTACTCCCAGAATGTTGACCTCCAAAGCCCCTACCAGTTTTGCTCTGCCGGTCAGTCTGCAAACACAGGTCTTTTCAGGAGCTAGTTCTAGCCTTCTGCTTTCTATCCACTGCCTTATATTTTCAGCGGGTATCGTTGCAAGTCTCTTGGCTTCATCCAGACCTTTACCTATAGACACAACGGCTAAGTCGTCCGCAAAGGCTATCGTGTAGACGCCACTGGGTTGATCGATGGCGAGAACCGGATCATACATGATGTTCCACAAAAAAGGTCCCAAAACTGACCCCTGTGGAACTCCCATACTAACTATCTTACTGTAACCACTCCCAGTAAGAACCACCCGTTTGGAGAAATAACTCTTAAATAACGATGTTGAGTAAATATTTCTGTATTCTCCTTCTCTCCTAGCTCTTCTATAATTATGTCCCACCTGGCCGTGTTAAACGCATTTTTCACGTCCAAAGCTACCATCAGTGTTGTTACAAGGGCAGAAATTTTTGTACTATAAATGGTGTCGAAATTGTACATTTTTGAGTGGAAAAATGTGTGTCATGTGCTCTTACCCTCTTTATTTACCAAGTTTTGGTACGTCTAACGTCTAAAGACAGAAGTCAGAGTTCAGGTAGGATTAAGTAAGGTATTCGAAACTAATAGCCGCCGACACGTTGGCATTATTTGAAATGCAGGTCGCATAGGAGCATGCCACCTGATAGGAGGATGCAACCTCATAGGAGTATGATCTGAATTAAACCCTCTGTTCCTAGCGACCTGCATTTCAAATCCACGCATCGCGTATCACCGTTCGTCTAAAAATGCATATGTATACGTGGGTTTAAGTTTGGGTTAGTTTTGGTTTGAGAAGTAAGAATTGTATATTTTTTCTTGCAATTGTACCTATGTACTCCTTGACTATCAAATGTACCCAAAATAGTACAATTGTACCTATTGTAACAACACTGGCTACCATCAGGCAGGTCTCCCTGTGCCTGTATCCACCAGCCTTTGCACTCTCAGCGAGCTGCAAAATTCTCTTAACAGCCTCCACGGTGGAGCATCCCTTGCGAATCGGCTGCTTCCTCTAGTCCCTCTAAAAAAACCTTGCCCTAAAGTTTTAAAGCGTCGGTATTCCAGTGCCGGGCAGTAGCACAGCAGGTTTGGCAAATTTTCCAGCAAATATTTCTGGATATATTTCGTGAAACATTTCGAGCAAAGTGGAAAGGGTGTTTTAGACTCATTGGGGACTATTGTATTATGTAATTTTTATTTGAACGTATTATCTGTAAAATACATAATATCTCCTATCTGCATTCAAGGACGAAACCTTGATGAAACATCAAATATTCAAATTATTTTATATATTTTGATATCTTATCTGCTAAATATACATTATATCGGGTGTGTCTCAAAAGTGGCTCACCCCAATAACTTTTTGATTGGTATAAGATTTGGTATGTTGGTATATACAGGGTGGCGCACCTCATTCGCCTCGGGTGATTATACGAAAACGGAAAGATGTAGAAATAAAAGAAATAAAATATATTATGGGTATATGTGGGAAGGCAATGTACATAATTTAAAATGATTTTGAAATGTACAGGGTGTGTCAGAACTAAGATCCATACCAAAGTTTTATTTTTTTTATGGAACACCCGGTATTTTATTTCATTTTTGGATTCTTGGACATAAAATAAGGCTTTTACTATAAGGGTTTAATATGTTTAAAAGCTTTGGTTTTTGAGATATTTAAAGATATTTAAATATGCATGCTATAATAAAAAAGTTTGTCAACACCTTGTACATTACTTTTCAGAATTAATTCTTGCGCTGACTTTCAAGCCAGAGAAATAAACTTTACTAAAAAATTTGATTGCTTCCCTAAATGTATACAGGGGTATCGAAAATTGCTGGTCTATTTTAAATATCTATTTTACATAAAAACTTTGTTATTTCAAATGCAACACTATATATTTTTTTAAATAAGTTGAAGCAGACTTCAATGCTCTTTCAAACTATATTAGGGTTTCCTATACCTATCTGGCTCAAATTTTGAATAAAAAGCGATTTTTCAATAAAATTGTAATCAAGATGGCTGGTGTCGCCATGGCAATTTTCTAGTGACACTTAGTAGCTATTTTCAAAATCGACATTAGATTATGGACTTTATTTAAATTCATAACAGGTTATTTTTATTTAATTTACCTACAATAAGGTTAAAGAGTAAGTATTTATTATTTTATCAAGAAAAATGAATTAGTATCTGCTGGTGGAAGGAATAAATATAAAAGTTTTCTTCACAAGCGTTCCTTTGAAAAACTAGTTTTCGTATTTCGCAGAGCTGATGGTGGTATATCAAAAACATATTAGGCAGAAACCTGTCATTGGAAGTGAATAAAATGAATTTGCCTTAATTGGTTCTCTTATAGAAAATCCAATATATCTAAGTCATCGTAATATAAATCAAAAAGAACTACTTCTTTATTTTTCTTGATAAAATAATAAATACTTACTTATTAAACTATTAAATAAAATAAAAGTAGGTTAATTAAATAAAAGTAAACTGTTATAAATGTAAATAAAATACATAAACTAATGTCGGTTTTGAAAATAGCTACTGTCACTAGCAAATTGCCATGACGACACCAGCCATCTTGATTTTGATTGTCATTTTAAAAATCAAAAGTTGTAGTAATTTCCGCTTAAACTGGAAGTGGCCGAAAGCAATTGAATACGTCAACCAATTTTAATTTATGTCATTTTTTGCTCGATTTTCCTTATTCAATGTTAATAAAGGTTGATCATATTGTTGCCATGAATATAATCAGATTAAATAATTAAAAAAAAAAACAGAGTTGGACTTGCAATTATTTTAAATAATAATTAAATAGTTTTATTATTGTTAAGGTACCAAAAATAAAAAAGTATCAAGTGGGGCATATCATTGTACTCAGGAGACCGTGTTCCTTCAAAACTTGTAATAAAAATGCAGGTCCGTATTTAAAAAAAAATTAAGTTGACCTTCGTATCTCACAAATTATCAGCTAATTTAAAAATCTAAATAACTATCAGAGAGCCCTAATAAAGTGCGGCTATGAGAATGCGCAATTAGTTTTTTGATTTTCTAAAAACTAACTAGAAGAAAAAATAAATTAAATTTTCAAAAAAATCTTTTTTTCCAAAAAACTCAGCAATCCTTTTAAAACGTTTAAAACTTTTTTGATGGAATCTTCGTGAACATCCCAAGGAGCAACTTTGCCCCAATTTAACCATCTTCGTATCTATTACGGTTTCCCAGATACCAATGTTCGTATCTCGAATTTGTAGCACCCTGTATATGTGCAGAAAACTATAACTGTAATTTAGGACAAATAAAATGTACAAGTATATTGGAATTTTGGTAAGAATTTAGCTTCAGTGCAAATACGTATTATATATTTTTATAAATAATTTGTATCCAATTTACTTTGTATATCCACAAATACTACGACAATGGAGATTCTATTTACTCGAGAATAATTAGATAAGCTGATTTATATAGGGTAAATTTGGTATTATACATATGCATATTTACAGACATATTAACTCTTAGGCACAATTATACATCTTTATCTTTTTTAATATTGCAGTTTCCTTGCAATGCATGATCATCACTGCTGAGCCTGAGAGTAAAAAACTACACACATGGCCAAAATAAAATTATTGCATATATCGTTTAAAAATATACGGAAAGGAATTTAAAGAATCTTTTTTTATACATAGCTTTGGTAATCTGTAATAAACATTTTTTTGTTAAAATAGATATGGTAAACAATGTTTATCGTTCAAACCCAATATTATTACAAATTCTTGGATATTTCTATTTGTGGTGTCTTGGTTTTCTGAAGAAATTTGTTTGTTCAGAAGAACTATTGTTTTGGCCTTAAAATGCCTAGAAACATTATTTCACAGTTTAATAGAGTCAGAATAGCAACACTGTCTCAACACGGCTACCGGCAAGTTGCAATAGCTGAAATTGTAAGAGTTAACCAAAGCGATGTTTTGCAAATATTAAAATAATTTAAGGAAACAAATGAGAGTACAGACCGGCCTGGAAGAGGTAGAAAGAGAGTTACTACTGCTGTGCAAGACCGTCAAATATCCATAATTGCACGACGCAATCCCCTGCTTTTTAGTACTGCTATTAAAAATGAGTTAGCTCGCCTTGAGGGAGTAAATGTTTCAAGAAAGACCAGAGCAAGAAGACTCCATGACAAAGGATTACATTTAAGGAGGCCTCATTAATTTACAGCACAAAATTACGCGACTACAATGGGCTGAGGAGATGAGAGCAAATGGACCTATTTGGAATTTCGTCATGTTTAGCGATGAAACAAGAATAGGCTTAGGGTCAGACTCGCGACGAATTTTGGTCTGGAGAGCGTCTGGAAGACGCGCACGCTTGAATACAGCTCAACCCCGTGTCCCGTTTCAAGGTATGGTATGGGCAGGTATAACGCATGAAGTTCGAACATGAAGGTTTTGTTTTTATTGATGGCGCAATGACAGGTGCCTCATATCTTAGAGATGTTTTAGAATCTATTGTGCGTCCATTTCGAGGGGCAGTGGGGGATGAATTTGTTTACTGGACGATAATGCTCCTCCCCATCGCACTTTAGCGGTTTGCGAATTTTGTGAGCAAGGGTATAAGTAAACTGTGGTGGCCACCGATGTCTCCAGATATGAATGTTATCGAGCATGCTTGGGACATGCCAAACCGCCATATTGCCAAAAGGAATAATCGCCCCCGTACCTTAAATGAATTGAAAATTGCTGCGCGCGAAATATGGGAAGCCATTCCTCAACATCTTCTGGACAACTTAATTGAGAGCATACCACGTCATCTCACAGCTTACGTTGAGGCTCGAGGAGGCAATACAGACTATTAGTCGTGAGAAACAATTTAAATTGTCATCAAATCAATATTTTCTGTTTAAAATGAAATTTGTTTTTGTTGATTTTCACTCATTATGAAATAAAATTATGATAACAGCCTAGTTGCACTTAGATTTTTAATTTTATATTAGTTAGTCGTGTAGTAAACCAATATGTCCAAAAATGTAAAAAGAATCATATTAGGTCCAAAATAAAATAAAAATATCGTTATATGCAATAATTTTGGTCCCCATGTGTGCATATTTTATAAAATTATCTCTAGTAATGTTTTTATTATCTAAATAATTTATCTTGTATTTTATTTCAGGTAGTGGTTCAAAAACTACACGTATATAAAAAATATAATATATTTGCATTGATTTCATTATATCACGGAACAGTTGTATAATTATATACATATATCTATATACAACAATAGTTCTTTTTCTCTTCCAATTCTATACAATTTTTAATACTAATCACATTGTTAAACCGTCAAATACATGTTTTTAATATTTGCATTCTAAATCGTATACAAAACAAGAAAATTATATTTACTGGTTTGCTACAGAATTCTAAAATTGATCTAAATTACTAATAACACTAACTAATTATTAGAAGCAGCATTAACAAGAAAAAACTTAACAACAAACTTAACAATAGTAAATTGTAAATTGAACTAATTTTTGATTCGATGGTTTTGTTTAGGTTGAAATGCTGAAATGTACAATTTTCTAAATTAACATACCTTTAAATGAGTAATTATAGTCTTATTACACATTCTGAAGTATATATAAGTTTAAATATTATTATAATTATAAAAATCAAAGCCTTATTTTGCTTTAATAAATCATCGGGACCAGAGTCCAAGATACCAGACAATAAATCTGATAATAAATTAACGAATTATTATCAGTATTTGCATTATCAAATGCAGTATATACATCAAATATAAATCTCTTTGTATCCTTAAAAGATACATTAGGTTTAGCACAGTTTATTTTGCGGTGAATTTTCATATAATAGACGACTTTTTCCCCTTTCTCAGCTCCTGTTGGATTAGTTCTAATGTTTTCCCTTTCGTTTCAGGAATAAAGAAATAAATATAAGCGATTCCAACTATAGTCGTTCCAGCAAATATATAGAATGGAACTGATGCTCCTATATAATCCGTCGTAAACTGATAAACTTTGGTACTACTTATCAGAGTAACAGCATATACTAAACTTGCTATCGCAAGACCCTTTGCTTTGATGTTACTAGGATACACCTCCGCAATGTAAATATTAACACCAATTCCTAGCCCACCGCAATAAAAAACATTGTAAGCTATCACAAACACCAAAGGCAAAATTGATACGGATGATACATCTATACTAGTATAGTCGTGGATGGATAAAAATACCGCCATCGAAATAAGCGCGCAGAAACACAAAACCATCGAAACAAGAAATAAAGTTCTTCTTCCAATTTTGTCTATATAGAACAAGCCCAGGGTCATAATGATAATTCCAGATACAATTAGTAAAGAAGAACCAAAAACTGGGCTAAAGTTCGTAGTTTGTACAATTAATAGTTGAATATAGGATGTAAAAGCCATGTAGCCAGTGAAAAACTGGAAGGCTCTTAATAGGGTCACCAGTATTAAAATTTTTCGGTTTAATGGAATGCAGAATAGGTCTCTAAAAGTACCTCTTTCGGACATCTGTTTTTGAAGGAATATGTTTAATTGGTCAAACTCCGTCTCAACATCTTTTTTTCTTCTTAAAATCTAAAAAGAAAAAAGAAACTAGAGTAAGTTTGTTTCAACATTGACGCAATATTTTTTTTTCTGTAGAACATTTAAAGAAAAAAGAAAAATGAAGAGCGTATCAGTTGAGCAGGAAATCCACTATGAACGCCCGACTCGGTTAGGCACTGAAATTACGATGGAAACACAGGTTTTGGATGCTTGATGTATTTAAAAAAGTAAAGTAAATATTTCAGTTAATGTCTTCTTTTTACTGCCAGGGCTAATCTGGACGGAGCATACGCGGCCCGTTGTTTACGCGGAATCCGAACCGCGGTCCTCGGCCATATCATGGTCAATGGCCTACCGACTTGGCAAGTGTTTAAATCGACTCTTACTCACGAGATATCCGATCTCATCCGGCCACGAACCGGCGCGGCGTGAATGAGCAGTGTGTGTCAATAGATTTTACACTTTTGCCTTTTTTTTTGGACAACAGCACGATACAGAGTTTCGAACCGGTCACCCGTCCATCCACTAGTATCGCCATACGTCGGTTAAATTTGGTGTTCTAATGGGAACCGGTGTCTGTGCCGGTGTTTCGACGTAGCCCTTGATGTATTTAAAAAACGAGAGCGTTTTCTTTCATGAACTTTTCTGTGACGGAAAAGCCCGATACGTGATGTTATCTCTCTTCCACACTCCGGACATTCAAAAATCTCATTACTTTGTTGCCTATTTACTTTTTGGTTGTTGTTGTTAACTGAGTTTACAATAATAATTGTTCTCCATTGCGTTCTATTGTGCGCTGCTTCCTCCCGGTTTTCTCTTACCCTCTACAAGCTCACCGTAAAGAAGAGATTTCGGTAGGCTGTCTCTGGGTTGCAACTTCTAGTTGCTAATTCTGTGCTGAATTTCAGAGTCGATATTTGCCTTTTGCGAAATCAAACTGCCGAGGTAATTGAGTTCCGTTACTTATTCCAGTAGTTCTTCTCAGATTTTTATAGCACTGTTTTGATTTTCTGGGGGAGTGTACATGATTTTAGTTTTATCGATGTTCAGCTTAAGGCCCAAAGCCTCGTATGCCCAGGTATATGTGTTCAGCAATTCTTTGCAAGCTAGTCTTCTAACAACAGTTGTTCATCTTCCGAGGAGTGGACATCTACCTCCTATGGATACACCCTTCCACGGTTGAGGTTTAGCTCTCCGTGCCCTTCATGGTCAAGGTCTCGCAACTCCTAGAGGAAAATAATAGATTTCCTGCTAGTAAATTGATGTCCTGCTGCTAGTAATGAATAACTTTATATAGTTTTATCTAGAATCAAGTGCCCCTAATATACAGTCGAAACCAGTAAACTTGTTAATTATTAAAAATTTAACTCTATTTAAATTAATATTTAACTTACTTTTAATGAATGTTTTGCCTTTTCTTCCTTGTTTTTCATCAAGTAATAATATGGACTTTCGGGCATAAACATAGAGCAGATCCAAAAAATTATGGGAAACACAGCCATTAATAAAGCAGTATTTTTTATTGACAAATAAGATCCTAAAAGAGAATAAAAATTATGTTTAATAGTTGTCAATCACAATAACAAATATAGATAGATGTCGAGAGAACTGTACTAATAATATAATTCTCTTGACAATTACCCTTATATTTAATTTTATGCAATATTCCTTTACATTTGAAGTAGATTAACGCATTGTTTTATATTTCTAATTTTTTACATCAGAAGTGGGATATTACCCTATGATAAAGTGCCGTCTATTGACCGGATGAGTATATCTGTGATTACTAATCTTGTTAGGAAATAATCAAAAAAATACATATGACCGCGTTATTATACACCATACAGACTGGTGCTAGCAAGGCGGCTTCAAGGTATTTACATGAGAATTATTATTTTAATATTTATCGTCCGACTTATATGATATTTGATATTATGTCAATAGATTGGACTTAGGCCAACTTGACCGTGTATGACACATGTCACTGTGATAGTTTTGTTGTAAGGAACGTCAAAAGTTGATCTCGTCCGATCGCGACCAAATTTGGTGTGTGCGAAGGTGCACAGGGTCCCACTCTGCAAAGTTGGATACGACGTGACGTTTCGTTTACATCTTCATCAGGGTGGAAATAAGGATTTGACATTGAAGAAAAAAGTGGGTCGATTTTGGCATAATTAGGGACGGGCTACAAGATAGCGCTCTCGACGTTTTGTACCGATGCCCCTAAATGGACGAAATTATCAGGATTTGTCTTTATTATGGGTCGATTGGGGCAAGTATAAAGAGATGAGGTCTGCAACCGTACATTATACACTGGATATACAATGCAATAGTTAGACCAATCATCACTTATGGAGCACTAGTATGGTGGGAAGCGGTACTTAAAGAGACTAATAGAAAAAGCCTCACAAAAGTACAGCGATTAGCTACACATACATTAGCTCTAGGTACAACTGGAGCAAGGAACAACGCAGCGCAAGCTGCGCTAAAAGCAATCCTGGACTTGCAATCAATCGACTGGCTCGTGAAGGATCTGGCCGCTAAGGGTGCTCTATGATTAAGGAAATCCAATCTGTGGAACCAGACCAACTACGGTCACTCAAGGAAATTGCCAGTGATAGAGAAAATCATGGTGAACACGAGTCCACATTTGCTAAACGAGAAAACGGACTATATGCTCACCAAACATGATTTTGGAGAAAAGATAAGGATTCGCATCCCGATAAGAGTAGAATGGGAAAGCAACCGAGTAATAAACACTCAAGAGATAGCAGTCTACAGAGATGCTTCCGCAACTTCAGGAGGCACAGGTATACGCATCTTCTCAGAGGAACTAGACATCCGACGATCTTTAAGATTATCGGGTGGCTGTAATGTTCTACAAGCAGAGATTTACGCCATAAAGGAAGCGGCTAGTTGTATACGAGAGAAAATTGCTGATAGACTAATAGGGGATATAGTGATGTACTCCGACAGATTGACCGCTTTAAGAAGCATCATCATGCAATCAGTGAGATCGAAAACTGTGATGGAATGTCGAGAAGCACTGTTCTGGCTGCGTCAGGGCGAGGCTACTCTATGCTGGGTGCCAGGCCACAGCAATGTGGTGGGCAATCAGGAAGCAGATAGACTTGCCAAAGACGGGGCCAGGGAAGAGGCCGTGGCAGATGGCCCACCACTTGTGACGATCAAAACACTGAAGGAAGCTATAGGAATTGCCATCAAGGCCAAGTAGCAAGAGACGTGGCAACACCGTGAGGACTGCGCTACAGCATGGCCGTCCTTAGAATATTGGCCGCTTGGAGCAAGCCCGAAAAAATGCGCCCCCCCCTACAGACAATCGGTTTTTTATTAGTGTTTAGAAATTTGTAAAGAGTTTAGAAAAACTTCTCTCTCCGGTGGACACTGAAACCGGCATCGTTAATAAGATTCTTATTGTGATGTAAATATTTGGAAAGTTTCCAATCAGATCGTGAATTTTTAAATATTTTAGTGTTTGTTTTGGACAACTGCAGTTTTCGGCATTATCTGGTGATATTAGAGCAATTAGAGCTAAAATCTCGTCCCGAAGCTCTAGGCCATTAATATCATGTTTGTCTCCGTCCGTTAAATAGAGATGAAGATCCATACAATGATTTGTTATGTCCTCTCTGTTGACATTCCTGAGAACTTTGAAGTCGTATAAAAACGAAAAATAGTCCGAGTGAGCTTTTAACAGGTCAAACCTTTCCTGGAGAGCTTCATGGATTGTATCCAGGACAACAAAGAAAAATCCGATTTTAAACTTTTCTAAAACTGGCTCATCCACTGATTCATACTGGCTCATCCACTGATTCATACAAAAACTGTCTAGTTTTTATTTCTGGGATGAGCTTTAATATCATTAGTAAAAACTGCTTCAATTTCCAGCTCTTCTGCCAGCCCTGCAGCATCCACTAATATTTCTCTAAAATGGTCGTCAGTGCTTATTTTGACAAAATAATGTGTAAATGCGTAAAATTGTTCTGATTTAGTGTTTTTATTTTGCTGACAAAATAGTCGTCGATATCTTTTAGAGCTTTTGCGGACTCAATGAGGTCAAGTTTCTCATTCTGAAGCAGTTTACTGGTTGCATTTATACTGTTGGAAATTTCGTACCGTAAATGACATACCGAATTTGGTCAAAATGTACCAAATTCAGTATAATTGTACCGAAACAGCCGCCCTCAAATTTGGCCGCCCGAAGCAACTGCTCCTCTGCTCCACCCCTCAAGACGGTCCTGGCATTCGAAGAATATGGCCAAAGGTAGATAGCAAAAGACAAAACAACTACTAGAGTACAAAAAGGATCTAGTTCACATAATTGTAGGTGTCGTCACTGGAAACTGTCCCGCGGGGGTAAACCTCGTGAGATGGAAAGTTTCCGACGACAACTACACACTGTCCGGCACTGGAATACCGACGCTTTAAAAATTTAAGGCAAGGTTTTTTAGACTAGACTAGGGGAAGCAGCAGAAGTCAACATCAGCGACATCGGGACATTTGCAAAGAGCTAGAAGTGCTTTAACGCAAAGAGAGAATGAGAGGAAGGTTTAGTACAACAATAGCAGGGGTATCGCAATGGGCCCAAGGCCTCCGAGTGAGGGATCAAACCCCAGCAACCTAACCTAACCTAGCTGTTAGTAAGAAGTTACACTTTAATTATGCGCACATAGTGCAAATAATTCTTTTTTATGTTGATTTCCTTCTAGTGGTGCAAAACCCAGAAATCTTTTTTGAAGATAATGTTTAATGTAAAGTAAAAATGTTTTGCTCTATTTGTGCACAGCCAGCTTATCTTAAATTCATTTAACATACTGAAATCTCTTGAGGTATACATACTTGAGGTATTCCTATGCACATAATACATGTCTTTCTACCAATGAGATCTGACAAATATGCACCAATAAATCCACCCACAACATCACCTACAGATCCAATCGTTGCCACAATAGATGCGTCTTCTTGACTAACTGGGATTGGATATTCATCCGAGAGAATCTTAATCAACGATGGTGCAGTCCATCCTTGATACGTACCAAAAATGAAAAACGTCAGCGACGCTAAAAGAAGTGAAGAGTTTTTTTTATAAATTCTCAAGTAAAATAAAATAACTTAAAAAATACCTGATAAAGCAGCTATATATTGAGTTTTGTGGCTCTCGTCATTTTTTTCTAACATTTTTTTAATTAATAATTTCATGTTAGTTAAGAGAACGAACTATTTCTAAAAGAAATTTAAAATACTACACGTGCCTTGAGCGTAACTTTAATTGACTGGCCTATTAAAACAACGCTGGAGAACTTTTATTACTAGTTTATTGTCAAAGCAATATGTTTGCTGATTTACTTACAGTGATTAAGAAAGATGCCGTATCATGATGTACAAATTTTAATCTAACGTTTTCATAATAGAGATGTTGCAAATAGAACTGAGATGTTGCAAATAGACTTAAAAATAATGACCCTGTATCAATTAATTCTAATTAGGGTACTTATTGAGAGATAAAACTTATGACAAAAAAGATTCTATTTAAGTTTGAACGTGCGTTTATGTATTTAGTTAAGCTATTTATACAATATAAACATTTCTGCAGGTTAATTGCAGATAGCTATATTTACACATAGATCTACACTGAAAAAACTAATTTTACAAAAAAATAGATGCATTATAGTATTTTTGATAAAAAAACTTGTAAAACTAAAATAGTTCTGTATAGTTTCACAAAAAATTGTCATATAAGAATTTGTTATGGTACTAGGGAAAATATAAAAATTATAATTAATATAATAATAATTTTGCTTTGATTTAAGTTAAAATATCAGTAGTGTTCCTATGAAAGCTGGTGGTTCCTTATAAGGCCTATCAAAAATTTGACGGTTGGCCTTGCTAGGGTACATGGGACATGGGCCTTACTAGGAACCTTTAAAAATCATGAAAATAGAAAACTTAGTTTTTAGTTATAAAACCGGTAAAGGTAGGTACCAGGAAAGTTGAAACAATGTATTATGTTTATAATAATTATTATTAATTAAGGTTATTCAACTTTTTAGCTAAAAGAACATTTTGGCTTTACAAAGATCAAACCCATAAGAAGGCCATTATAGTTTTTATCTTTGTAATTTCCTTCTAAAACGTATTGGCAACCTATTTGTTGTCGATATAATACTCATTACTATAATTTTTAAATAATTTTCATTAATATATTCTTAGTTATACGATTATGTAGAAGGAATGTTCGTTAAGTTTTTTAAAGAAGATTATAATATGTTAAGCATTTAATTTTTGTTTAAATGAAAGAGCTTTTTATGTAGTTTTAGTAAAAGCGGATATTTTGATTATTACAACTCAGTTTTAACTTGAACGACTGATTCATAATATTGGTCTTGTATGGAGCTCTCTCATGGAGCTCTGTTATTTGTACGTAATGCCATCTTAAACAGAAAAATCACATGTATCTCTAGGAGTTAAAAATTATGAACGACATACCTACAGTAAAAAATACATAATATGA